TCAATATTGTTGTCATTATTCGTAATGTTTTGGACGGCGAGCCCGGCCCGGCCCGGCCCGGCCCCCCACACACGCGGCTCCGGCATTTATCCGACCTCGCAGAGATTTAATTAAAACAGCTACTCGTTAGTGAGAGCGCGCCTCGCTCTTCCTTTCCTCATTAGCTATTGTTTCCCTCTGGTTTGTATTTTTCATATTCCGGTTTAGGGGGAAAGTAGCGGGGGAGGGATGTGTGGTTAACAACGCAGGAGAAGGGATTGTGAAATTCCCAGGCTCCTCTACACATACACACACACAGCCATCCTGCCACGAGAGAGAAAGAGAGCACTGCGCCACCGCGGCGGCAAAACCCAAAAGAATATTATACCGTAGTACCGTGCTGAACCAGATAGGCTGCACTAGGCCAATTAGGAAAGAGTTACTGTAGGAGGGACATGCGTAGAGAGAGAGAGAGAGAGAGAGAGAGAGAGAGAGAGAGAGAAAAGAGAGGGGGGGAGGGGGGGGGGCGCTTTCGGAGCGCATGTTGCCTTGTGTTGCAGTCGCAGACACAGTCCCACCCCCCGTAAGCCAAATAATCCACATGGGCGAACAACAAGCACCGCGTTGAGCGCGCATCAAAGGCCCCCTTCCCGTAACCCTTCCGTGTCGTCCTGAGAGTACACACGTGACCTACAACATTTTTCATTTAAGGAAAAATATTCTTACACACTGTATTGTGGATTTTCTTAGTAGCTTATTTCCATCTCCGTCTTTTCTCCAAAGATGTATATATAATCAGTGCATTTTGGGATATTTTGGGGGTAAAAGAGTGGGGAGGGGTGGCCTCTGTCGTTGTTACAATACCGCCGCTGCCTCGCCCCCGTGCCGCCCATTCATTTGCCTTGCCCTGCTTCCATTCACCCGTCGCCCCCGCCCGTTGCACGTGCACACCACTCACGTGAGCGGAGCGCCCGGGGGACGGACGGGTCGCCGCGCCCCTGCCTTGTCTGATCATCTCTAGCAACCACCCTCATCGCGAATGGACGCGTATGAGGGTTATACTCTATGGGCTGAAAATCGAGCTGTGGGATTGTCCCACTGTTGCAAACTTTTAGAATAGCCGTTCCTGCCGCTGTTGCTGTTGCAGCAGTCGGACACCTTCACTGTTAAAAATTCTGTCGTAAATTTACAACACATTTGATGTTAAGTTTGGTAGCAACAAAACATGGTGTACAATCCAACAACATTCCAAAAAAAAATTTGAAACAAAATTTCATTTCAAAACAGTGTTTTTTCTTGTTTGTTTTTTTTTTACTTCTGCCAGCGCCAAAAAATTGTAATAATAACACAAAGTTGTCCGTTTTGTAACGATATATGTTGCTATAAAACTTTACAGCGGTTTTGTTGTAGTGTGACAACGTGGTGATATGTAGTCATTATTTTGTTAGACAATTGCGGGTAAAATAAAGAAATTTTATCACATGCTAATGAAAATTAATAATGCTACTCTTTTACAAAAATCATCACAAAGTGTGTCATAACTTCACCACTTTTTTTTTAACATGGCATGCCCCACATTGACAAACTCTTGCAAAGCAGACGTTTTTCAAATTGCGAAGAATTTAGATCCTCTGTTACTTTGAAGCATTACTTTGGAATTACAAAGCGATACAATGCAAAGCATCGCTCTGTGAACGCTGAGTGAATTCTTCGTTGTTAGAGAGGATCTAAATTCCTCGCAATTTGCAAAGCATTGCTTTGCAGGAATTTAAAAGTGCACTTTTGGATTTTCAGAGTTGGAGGTTTCATCTTATCTGTGTGCTATCGGCCGGACACTAGGGTGTTTCAAAAAATTTGACATATGCTTGAGTGGACTTTATTGGCAAGTTCATGACTCGACCTGAATCTGTGCCAATTTTGAGACATCTCCGATGATGTGAACCATCCGCGCCTCTCCCGCAAAGTTTGAGTCCCATTTGTCAAAGAAATGTCTGAAATGTCGCACACAGTCGCAGTCAGTATGACTTTGTGTCAAATTTCAGAGCACTCCGGTGGAGAGAGCAATTTACAACGCTCCCTCTAAATTTTAAATCACATTTGACGCGCGCAGGGATGAAATTCCACACGAAGTAACTTTTATCATCTGAAGAGTAGCACTAACTTTGGCGGTGAGGCGCGGATAGTTCCCCTCATCGGACAGGTCTCAAATTTGGCACACATTAAAAGATCGAGGCCTGAACTTTCCAATAAAGTCCATTCCCGCATATGTCAATTTTATTTTGAAACACCCTACCGGACGCACCAAGAGAATCTGCGCAGAAAAACCTACTTTCAAGAAAGACCTGTGATTTGCCTACGCCAGTCTGTGTTTTAGGAATTCGATAAGATAGTATGGATGTTGTGCAGTGTTCCAGTGGTGCAAAGCCAGTGTTTGGCGTTTATCCAAATTCATCTAGTAGTGTGGATTTTTGTTGAACTCAGGCGCGTCTGCTACTGGCCCTGTGAGTCGTGCTCGCACTCACTCACCTCGCGAGAGAATCCTCGGTGCTACTGCTGCTATCCTCTCTGCCGGCTCCGGTCTCTCCGCTATCCTGGCGGCGCCGGTTGCGGTGCCGGGCCTGGGGCGTGGTCTAACGTGCCGACCTCCTTCACGGGGGCGAGGCGGGCGCGGCGGGCGCGGTCGGCGCGGTCGTGGAGGGCTCGCTGCTCCGGGGTTGCTCCTCCGGGCGCGACTCTCTCCGGCACGGACCGAACGAGAAGTAACCGGGCCCCCGTGCGCCCGCCGCCTTTATACGCCGCGCGCGCCGGGGTGGCGGAGGGGGAGGGCGGCGGCAGGCTGCAGGGCGGGGAAGGTCCGCCACCCCTCCGCGGGGAGGGCCGCCGTGCCGGCCGAGCAGGTGCCGGCGCGGCGGTCGCGCGCATCCTGCACTCTTGGACACGTCGCGGGTGGGGGACAGGACAGGAACCACGACGGGACCCCTGAGGACCCCGAAGAGACCCCGACCCCGACGGTACAACTACGGTGCACCACTGTAGGATGAGCGGCGAGTTCCCACCAGGTAAGAAGTGAGCTTTCGGCATTGCGAAGACCAGAGGTCTTTTGAGACCTACGGTAATTAAGTGAAGTGAAGTGGATTCAGGTTGGGCGGGGGGCGATCGCCCCCCCTGTGGTCTCTAGAGAGCCGCCTGAAAGGAAGCAAATTGCGCCACAAACCCCTAAATGTACCGGGAACCGCGACAGTGCATCGCCCCCACCTGTCAGCAGCAGGACCCTAATCCGCGCGCCTGGCTCTCGGCGGTGAGGTGAGTACTACTGCGGGGTAGTTCGTTGTAAACTAAAACACTTTTGGCTTTGTTTCTGACACCTAATGGACAACTTGCCCAGATTGGCGGAGCGTACTGGGAATCAGCACCATCATAACCCCTTAATGAAAAGTGTTTCAAAACGCTGTTTAATGAAGTTCTTTTGTCGGTGGAAATTTCAATGTGTGGGTGCGTGAATTTACAACTCGTGGGCAGGTAGAGGAGAATCACATGCCCGCTGTGCGAATTTCGAGTGTGGGTCGTTAAATCCGAACGCTTTTTTACCGAGCTCAGAGTGAATTTCAATGTAACAGTGCGCTGCATGTTTTACTGTTAAGTTACGGTGAAAGTTAGCGTATAATCTTTTATTGTCGCCCCCTTCCTCTCCCTTCCCGACTCCTCTGCCTCTTGTAGGGATACGAGATAAGTGGGATTTGGCTGTGGGGGAGGTTGTCGGGTCGGCTGCCCTCCATGCCTTCCTTGGTCTTCTTGGTCCTGCCGTTGTGGACGAAGAAAC